CTTCCCCGGGCCCGCCGCCGACGGAGAGGACGACGCGCCGCAGTCGCGCCTGGCGCTCCTGGCCCGCCGCGGAAGCGCGCTGCACCTGCTGCTCCGCCTGGGCGGGGACGCGCCCAGGGGCGCGCTGCTGCGCACGCACGCCGAGCTGCTGTGCACGCGCCTGCACGAACTGGGCGGTGCTGACCCCACGGCCCGGCGGAAGCTCCTCGATGCGCTGTGGGCGCGTGGGCCTCGGGAGCACGTGCTAAGCGTGGCGGGCGAAGCGCTGCTGCGCGACGCAGACCCGGAGCCTACCCGCGCCGCAGACTCTGCGGGTGCGGATGAGACACAGGAACTGCTGCGGTGGCTTCTAGAAAGCCCCGAGGTCTTGATCGCTTTCTGCCGCCAGCTGCCCGCCACGCGCCTGGCCTCCTTGGCGGGCCGCCACCCAGCGCTGTCTCGCGCCTACCTGGGCCTGCTCACAACCTGGGCCACGCAGCTGCACTATGACCTGCCCAAGGGCTCCTGGGTCCCCACGCAGCCTGAGGACATGCCCTGGGACGAGTTGTGCCTCCGGCTGCAGAGCATGTGCCAGGCCCCACCACCCCTGCAGGAAGACGTACTGGAGACTCTGCGCTCCAGCAAGGCGCTGGATGGAGATTTCGAGGTTCCCGGGATGAGCATCTGGACGGACCTCCTGCGGGCCCTGCCTGGTGGTGCTTGACAACATGTGGGAAGAGGTTCTTAAGTCCCAGGCCGAGCATCTGGACACACCTGTCTCAGGGAGGCATAGAGGGGACAACAAACATACTTCTTACCCAAGCCTCTATTCTATGCACAGTGTCCTGCTGCAGCTTGACTGTACACTTTACAAAATGTCAGCATTCTCACCAATGCAAATGTCAGCATTCTCACCAATGCCCTGTACTATATCGTCCCAAAACCTAGTTATTTAGATGCCAACTTTAAGTGCTTCGTAATACAAATACAAATATTTTTTAAAATGATGTATGATGCCTTGAGTTTTCTAGATACTGGAAATAGTGTTATTTCCATTCTGGTGGTGGATCCAAGATCTTGCCCATGTTAGGCAAGTGCTCTACCACTGAGCTACAGCCCTACCCTTGGAAGAATTCTTCAAGCCATGGAATTATCAGCTTGTTTTGTATAAGGCTAATTTGTAAGAATAGTAAAAATAGATACACTTTTTTTTTTTAAAAGAAAAAGCTTTAAATTTTCCACGGCCACGTTTTTATCTGATTGATTTACTTGATTCCTGACATTCTCTTCACTTTAATAGTAAAAAGTTTTGTTTAAATGGAAACACGTGGTGGCATCAAATGTTAGTTTCAAGGCTGACTGGGCTATGGTCAGATGTACCTTCCTTAACCTGTTTACCGACCTTCACGTGCATTGAAGCTGTGTTGTTCGGAAAGTTTTGCCCCTCTTTTGTACACGTCACTGCTCTCAAAGTCAAAATGACAGGATGTTGGCTTAAAGCATTTCTTGACTACACACTGAAGTGTTTAGAGCACAGTTAATGTAAATATATCCTTTTGGGTATTTGGATTGGATAATAAAGGAATCAGACTAGTGAGTTAGAGAATCGAGGCTGTTGGTTTTCATGCGGCAGCACAATGTTATTAAGTGGTGCTGTTACCGGGCGAGAAAAGCAACGAGGCACGACAAAACCCACTCTAAGAGTTTTAGTAGGAGAAGGGAGAGACAGAAGAGAACATGACCAGGCCTGTGGAAGACACGTCCATGGGTGTGGGGGGAGGCTGTGATCTGCTTATGGATTCCTCTGCACATGTGCATATGGGCTCACGGAGTTGTGCCATGCATGTGCATAGATTTCGTGATCGTGCTGTGCCAAATTACACGATCATGCAACAAACGTATTATGTAGGACGTAAGGCCCCTTACTTGGCTACTAAACTGCGCATGTGCGGTCATGTAGGGCAGGGGGAGTGGCCAGGAATTCCAACAGAGGCCACTTACGCCATTTATCAAGTTAATAGCACCAACATGGTGCCATCACTAAGATGTTTAAGTACTTGACTCAGGTTTTCCTCGTGTTTGCTGGATGGAGACTATTTGGAGTGTTTTGTGACTAAAAACCCAACTTCATTTGTCTGCTTGAGTGTTCTAAACTTAGAAATAAGTAGTTTTTTTTAGTAAATAACTTTCCAGGGGTCAACATAACTTTCTCCATGTCTGAGATAACTGAGAGTAAGAGTTTTTGGTAAATAGGCATAACACAAAATTCTTAATTCTAGAAATGGAAATAAAGCAAAAGGACATATAATGTAGATTTTTTAATTCTGCGTTAGAACCTGAGTATAAATTATGACTAAGTACTTTCTAAGATATAATGCAATATCAGATTTTATTTCCCTGTGCTCAGATTCCTTTTTCTAACACTGATCTGTGTAAACCATCTTTGCATCTTCTGTATTCTGACAGGATTCCTTTGTGCACTTACACTGGAGTGACAGCCATATTTTCAGCGTTTTTAGACATTGTCTTACTCTATTCCAGTCACTCTCATCAAGGCATACATTTTCCTTTTTCTCCTGGATCCCTGGCAGCATTTATTATTATTTTTTTAATGAAGTTAGTCAGTATCTGAATTCTATTTTGATGTTTTAGGGTCTCTGTAGCCCAGTTAGCCTCTAACTCACTGTCTGCATATGCTAGCCTCAGGCTCCTGCAGGATTCTCCTGCCTCAGCCTCTCAATGCTGAGATTATAGGTGTGAACCAGCACATATAGCTAAGTCTGTGTATCTGTTTCCATGGTTTTGAAATTTTAATACTGTTGCATCTCACTCGTAGCATATTTTCTGCTATTTTACTTTTGTTGCAGGAGAAAACCAAGTTTCATATAGTAAAGTGCATCTTGATTCTCTTACACTTTTATCAGTTCATTTCAGATGATTGTGTGAGTTCCAAGATTGTGTTTCCATTCATTTACTTACTGGTTTTTGTTTATTTGTCTTGGTTTTAGGATTCTTTTGGGAAACACCTCATGGTGATAAACATTTGTATCTACAAATGCATGCCCGGTTCATGTTTGAAGGTGGTTTTGCTGTGCACATCATTTTCAGTTAACAATCGGTACGTCAGTTCACTCATCTCTCTTTCCTTATTGGTAGAGAAGGGAGTCCTCAGGCTGCAGTTCCTTTGTAAGTGGAGTTTTTTGTATTTTAAAGTGATCCTTAATTCAATATCTGCATCCCCACCACTTCCTCTATGTTCCTAATGTTCCTAATCTCGCCTGTGATTGGTTGGGCCTATACAGAAGGTTTATACTACCCAAACCCTAAGCTGTTTCCTGGCTGTCTCCATGTCAGTTTGTGCTGCTGTGGAAACTGCTGGTCTCCCGTGACCCATTTCCCACTACTGATGCTCTGCCCCAGTTTCTACCTGCAAATGACTCCCCAGCCTTGGGGGGAAAGTTTCCCAACTCCATTGCAGTTACACTGGTTTGGGGCACCGTGTGAGTAAGTAGAAGTAGGACCTATATCACATTTTCCCCTTTAATGGGCTGACATCAGCATGCTGCAGTGAGTTACCTGGTACCAGAGCTGGAGAGGTTGAAGGGATCACCTGCCTAGCTACTATGAAGGAAGAAATATGTTTCTCTTTCTATACGCCTCTCTTTTTATTCAAATGATTGTTTTGGGATGTAGGTACCTATCTATGTTATATCAGCAGTGCCTATGTTACTAAGTAGTATTGGCAAGGCCTTGGTAATTCAAGGCCTTGGTATTTAAGTTTAAATATCACTTGTCCAAAATTTCATTTGGCTTCCTCTAAAATTGCGTGGCATGTACTCATATATATGTGACATATCTCACATGCTTTTTTATGATTCCAGGATTAGTTTCTAGCATTGTTTTTTTTTTTTGGATTTACTTTATCTTTAAATGTGTGTATATGTGTGTCTGCATGTGGATGTTTGCATGTTAGTATAGATACCCTTAGATTAACTCAAGAAGACCCCCCACATACACCCAGTATCCTTCCAACTGCCCAGGTACGTGGAGAACAAAAGGGAAAGCAATTGCTTTTTGCTGCCTGCCTTGACCCTTGCTTGTGAGTACATATACTCTGTATGTGTCTCTCTGGACAACATTCTTAGTGAGAACAAGACCACTTCTGACTTTTTCTCCTTGAGCAGCCAGAACCACCTCCCACCCCCCAACCCCCAGGCTGCAACGGACACTCACAAGTAGCTGAGCACTATGCTTGCATGAATGGAAATAGGGCAGAGATTTGGTGAGAGCATTATCACCAGGGTCATCTGTCTAAGAAGTGTAAACCATTTTAGAGGTGATTCAGGTAGAATGAATCTGAACAAGAATCAGTTCCAATACATGGGGACTTTCTCAGATTTCAATCCAGCAGCCTTAAACGCTTCCCAGAGTTACTTTACTGCTTCAGAGTTGAATCTATGTTCATCCATGCCATGATTATGTCTGAGGGTAGCCTGGGCTACATAGTGCATCCAGGCCAGTCAGGGATGAGTCACAGGCCAGTCTGAGTTGCTTATGAAATCCAGGCTAGCCTAGGCCATAGTATAAGATCCATGACCTCCCCTCAAAAAGGCTTTTTTTTTTTCTTGCCGTGGAGGAATTTTCAAGTTTACTATTTCTTGCTCTCCTGTTTTTGATTCATGCTGTATGCTGAA